GAGATTCCTGCTCCTGGGAGTCCGCAAAGGGTCTTTCCTTGTACTTAAGGAAAACTTGCCTTTTTAGGAAAAAAATCAGCACCATGTGCAGCCTAAGTGAATCGGGGCTTCTTTTTTACTGAAGTCCATTTCTAATCTAGTGATATGTAAGAGTAGCCTTCATTTTCTGATGAAAAAAAAAAAAGGCTTGCTAGTGATCTTCCCGGGTTCAGTGACTGGTACTCCTCCCCATTTCTAAGGCCTGTGGTGTGCAGTACACTGTGTTTAACTACAAAGGAGATGAGACATACCTTTATTTAGTCATTTATCATGTAAATATTTATTGGATACCTACTGTTTTTTGGGAATCTATTTGTGTTGGATACTTTTGTAGGAGTGAGGCAGAGACAGCCTCAGCCTCCTGTAGCTTATACTCCAATGGGGAAAAAAGATAATCAAATACGTAAATAAGATGCTTATAGATCGCTAGAGGTCTGGTGCACAAAAGTCGTGCACTCTTGTAGGGGGCGTCCCTCAACCTGGCCAGCGCCCTCATGCTGTCCGGGAGCTCTGGGGGGGTGGCTAACTGCCTGCAGAGACCCATGGGGAACGTGTCTACGCTGCCAATCCTTAGTGCTGCCGTGGAGGCAGGAGAGGCTCCAGCCACTGCCGCTGCACTCTCCAGCTGTGAGTCCGGCTTTTGGCTGAGAGGAGCTCCCCCTGTGGGAGCACACTGACCACCAGGGGGCAGCTCCTGTGTTGAGCGTCTGCCCCCTGGTAGTCAGCGAACATTATAATGACCAGTTGTTCCACTGCTCAGTCTATTTGCATATTAGCCTTTTATGCCTGTGGCATCTGGCCAAAGCCAGCTCTTCAACGTCCCCTGAGGGGTTCTGGATTGCAAGAGGGCGCAGTGTAGGCCAAGGGACCCCGCCGATGCATGATTGGGGCTAGAGAGGGACACGGGAGGTTGACCAGCTGGAGAGGGACTGCAGCAGGGCTCCAGGGCATGTCTGTACTGTCTCACTCAGTCCCAATCAGCCAGACCCCAGCAGCAAGCTCACCTACTGGTCTGAGCATCTGC